TGATCTACTTACATGTGATGTTTTTGAACTGCTAGGTTGGCAAAAACTGGGGCTAATAGTGGGAGCTCACCCCGCTCCCTGGATTTGAACTGCTGACCTTTTTGTCAGCAAGTTTAGCAGCTCAGCAGTTTAACCCACTGTGCCACCGGGGGCTCCTAATACCTATGCTACAATCCATGTATGTTTTATTAAAATATATTCATTCCTCGTATTTTTTAAAAAAATCTTGTAACCTTACCTTTCGGATAACCCTTGTAATTTAAAAATGTTTTATAGTTTATAGTTTTGTCGAAGGCTTTCATGGCCGGAATCACTGGGCAAGCATCCTCAGAGGTAGTAAGGTCTGTTGGAACTAGGAAAAAGGGTTTATACAGGGTTAGTCAAAATGAATAGGCCAATAAGAAAATTAATTTTAGACGAATGTATGTTTACTGTAACCAAACCACAGCTACGTAGCGACAGATAAACTATCAAAGTTTTTTTTGAGCAACACACATGTACGTTAATGCCGCTAGGCGTCGCTAGGGGTCGCTGTTTTCAAAATGGCGGAATCAAGCAAAGAGAAGGCGTTTTGTGTGATGACATTTGCTAAAACAATGTCAGTAATTACGGTCCAGCGAGAATTTCAAGGGTTAGGGTTAGGGTTAGGGTTAGGGTTAGGGTTAGGGTTAGGGATAGGGTTAGGGTTAGGGTTAGGGATAGGGTTAGGGTAGGGTTAGGGTTAGGACCTCAACGAACACCTTCCCAGACGTTGCTGCATTCGATGCCATTACGTCGGATGTGCTGCAACGGATGTGGAATGAACTGGACTATCGCTTGGACATCTGCCGTGTCACACGGGGCGCCCATATCGAACATCTCTGAAGGTGAGACAAAACTTTGATAGTTTATCTGTCGCTACGTAGCTGTAGTTTGGTTACAATAAACATACATTCGTCTAAAATTAATTTTCTTATTGGCCTATTCATTTTGACTAACCCTGTATTCTGTTGAATGGCCAGCGTGGGACAAAGGACTCTTGTCTGTTGGAGCTAGGTGTGAATGTTTCAACTGACCACCTTGATTAGCATTTGATGACCTGGCAGTTGTTTGATGTGGTGTTTGGAAACAAGGACATCTAATCACCTCTCAACAAAAGATTGCCCCAGGCACTGCCAGGTCATCAAATGCTAATCAAGGTGGTCAGTTGAAACATTCACACCTAGCTCCAGCAGACAAGAGTCCTTTGTCCCACCCTGGTCATTCCACAGATATATAAACCCTTTTTCCTAGTTCCAACAGACCTCACTACCTGAGGATGCTTGCCATAGATGCAGGCGAAACATCAGGAGAGAATGCCTCTAGAACATGGCCATATAGCCTGAAAAAACCCACAACAACCCAGTTTTATAGTTTATTTTAATCTGTTTGCAAACATTGTTTTCAATCACTTTTTTACTCTATTCTTCATCACCTTGGGAGCGGACTGAAAGATAAAGACATGATAGTGGTGATCATATGACGATGATATTAGCAGCACCCGCAGTAGTAATAGTAATATCTAAATATATGACACATCTTCTGGCGTTGATCTTATTTAGTTTTTTTTTAAAATGTCCCTGAGTGTACATTATCTTTCTCAAACGGCTGACTCACCACTGCTTGCTTGTCCTTGGATGACTCTACTGAATGTTGTCTCTTATGTTTGGGATGAGAGGTGGAGGGAAGAGACAACAGTTGAGATGTCATTGCAAAGGAGCCAAGTTTAGGAGTTTCTGCTGCATCCAAGCAAAGCAGCCTGATCTGGATGAAGCCTTTACCATTCCAGGTCTTGGTTCTTTTGTTCCTGCTGTATACAGAAAACTTGCATTACAACAGCTGGTCTCGGTGACCTGTGCTCTTTGCTCAAACATATTATGGGCATACATCGGGACGGTGAATTCTGTGAACTGTGTACGAGGGGTATTTTTTAAGTAAGGTCCGTTTTGTTGTAGACACTAGTAGTTCGCGCGCATACCGCAACGAGCGTGTGCGTCGTGTACCGGCGTGCCTCGGGAACAACTATGCTCAGTTTCCGCTCTGTAGCTAACCTGTACGGTTCTGTTCTGTGCTTTAAAAATGTTTAAGACTATCAACTCACCCTCCGCATGTGAGGTTCGCTCAGTGATACGGTTTTTGTCAGCAAGGAACCTGCCTGCTGCAGAAATTCATCGACAGATTTGTGAAGTGTACGGTGATACTGTTACGAGTGAAAGCAAAGTGCGTAAGTGGGTACGACAATTCAAAAATGGCCGTGACAACGTCCATGATGAGGACCCGCTCCGGTCGCCCTTCTTTGATTACAGACCATTTGGTGGCTTCAGCTGAAGCGAGGATTTATGAAGAGGGTATTTTAAAATTGGTTCAGAGGTATGATAAGTGTTTGAACAAACTTGGCAACTATGTCAAAAAATAGAGTGAAGTATGTACTTTCTGAAAATAAATTTACTTTTTTGAAATAAACTTTCGTTGTGTACTTACGTTCCAACGGACCTTACTTAAAAAATACCCCTCGTACATTGTGCCAACTAAGCAAATTTGCAGTTGCATACTTTAGTCTGGATTTACTCATTGGGAACAAGAAGCTCTCCAGGGCACTTTGGAAATTTTTATATCCTTGTTACAAGGTGAGCCAGTGTGGTGTAGTAGTTGGAGTGTTGGACTATTACTCGGAATGCCAAGATTTGAATTCCCGCTCAGCTATGGAAACTCACTGGGTGGCCTTGGGGAAAGTCTTACTCGCTCAGGCTCAGAGGAAGGCAATGGCAAAACCCCTCTGAACTCATCATGAAGAAAACCTCATCATAGGTTTATTATAACCATAACTCAGAAACATCTCATAGCACAATGACAACCTACTTGAAGAATAATACAATCATAAAGTTGGAAGAAATTATTCCACGCAGGAATATACAGTGGAAGCATTCCTGACAGATGGTCATCCAGTGTGATATCCATTGCTGGGAAGTTCTACCTAAGGTTTAGGTAGAATCTCTTTTCCTGTAGTTTGAATCTCTAAGCAAGCAGAAAATACCCTTGACCAATCTTTAATATGACATTCTTTCAAATATTTAAACATGCCTATCACATTCTCTTACACTTCTCTTCTCCAAGCTAAACATACCCAGCTCCCTAAGCTGCTCTCCATAAGGCTTGGAAAACAAATCTTTGGCCATTTTGGTTGCCTTTCTCTGGTTTGTCTGTATCCTTCGTGAATTGTACGCAGTTTTATTCCAGCTGAATTCTGACCATAGCAGAATAGAGTTGGACTATGACTTCCCTTAATCTAGACCAGTGATTCCCAATCTTTGGACCTCCAGATTTTTGGACTCAGCTCCCACATTTCCTAACAGCTGTTAAGATGGGATTTCTGGGAGTTGAAGTCCAAAACACCTGGAGGGCCAAAGGTTGGGAACCACTGATCTAGACACTACCCTCCTATTGCTGAAGCTAGAAAAGACATCCCCACAATAAAAATGCTCTGCAAGAGGGCAGTAGAACCACAAGGGAAATGGTTCTCGACCCGTGGATCCCCAGGTGTTTTGGCCTACAACTCCCAGAAATCCCAGCCAGTTTACCAGCTGTTAGGATTTCTGAGAGTTGAATGCCAAAACATCTGGGGACCTACAGGTTGAGAAACACTGCACTAGGGTGTTGTCATAGATGCCTATATCACTAGCGGGGTGGTCAGTACCTGAGGGACAGAGAAGCTACTGCTTTGTGTTTCAGTGTGAATAAATTTGCTTATTTAATCAATTCAGGGGACTGTGGAATAACTTTTAAAAAAACCTATGGGACAAGTCACTCCAAAAGCAAATGCAGTACAATTACTGTGTGCATGTGAGACAACTGAGCAGTGTGAGTGATAACTTAGAAATGTGTGGAAAAGAGCCAGCTGTGACTCCAAGAAGCCACTAGAGCAGTGGTTCTCAACCTGTGGGTCTCCAGGTGTTTTGGCCTACAACTCCCAAAAACCCCAGCAAGTTTACTAGCTATAAGGATTTCTGGAAGTTGAAGGCCAAAACATCTGGGGACCCACAGGTTGAGAACCCCTGCAGTAGAGGTTTTCCATGGAGACCTATATTGAGTAGGTGTGCTCACTACTTGAGGGACAGAGAAGTACTGCTTTGTGCTTAAGTCTGGAGACAGAATCATCTCACAATTTACCTGTCCGAACGCATCTCCCTTTATGAACCACCACGGATATTAAGATCTTCTGGGGAGGCCCTGCTCTCGGTCCCACCACCATCACAGGCGTGTTTGGCGGGGACGAGAGACAGGGCCTTCTCAGTAATTGCCCCTCGGCTATGGAACTCCCTTCCTAATGAGATCAGGTCAGCCCCCCTCCCTCTTGTCCTTTAGAAGGATGATAAAAACATGGCTGTGGGACCGAGCCTTTGGGACTGTGCAATGAGGCAGTGATAGTAACCCTTAGTATGCCAACCAAATTCGATATGGTTGTTGAGACAGTTTTAACTAGTGGATTTTAATGTCAAGATAAGTGATTTTAATGCTTTTGTATGTGTATGGTCTAATATGTTTAGGCATTTAATGTTTGCCGTTTATATGTTGTGCTCCGCCCTGAGTCCCCTTCGGAGTGAGAAGGGCGGAATATAAATGCTTTAAATAAATAAATAAATAAATAAATAAATAAATAAATAAATAAATAGAATGATATTTACTAATAAATACCAGTACAAAATGCAATCCCAGGTGCCTAAGCTAGTGATTTATATTTTTCTCCTTCAGAATCAAGTTAATGTGGAGCTGAAATTACTGTCTTTCTGTATTTCTTTAGAGAGCAAAAGCTTTTTAACAAAGAACTCAGAGAAGGCAGAACTGTTCAGTAATTTCTTTGTCTCAGTCTTTGATCATGGTCGCTCACTTCTTCTTTTTTAACTTACAGTTCTAGGAGAATTGTATTTTGGGGCCACACACAGTTGAAAGGAAGCTTACCCTTTCCCTCTTTGTTCTCTTTCCAGGTTTCCATGTGATTCCCACCATCTCCAGCATTGTCCCGGAGAGCTGCTTGCTCATCGTCGTGGGGCTGCTGGTTGGGGGGCTAATCAAGGCCGTGGGGGAGGACCCCCCGATCCTGAATTCGGACGTCTTCTTCCTCTTCCTTCTCCCGCCCATTATCTTGGACGCTGGCTATTTCCTGCCTTTGCGCCAGTTCACAGAGAACCTGGGCACCATCTTGATCTTTGCAGTGGTGGGCACCCTCTGGAACGCTTTCTTTGTGGGCTCCCTGCTGTATGGCGTGTGCCAGATCGGAGGCACGGGCTTGACCGACATCGGCCTCTTGGCCAACCTGATTTTTGGCAGCATTATCTCAGCGGTGGATCCCGTTGCGGTGCTGGCCGTGTTCGAGGAGATCCACATCAACGAGCTGCTGCACATATTGGTGTTTGGAGAGTCTTTGCTGAATGATGCCGTCACTGTGGTGAGTGGAAAGCAGCTTTGGCAGAGAGCTGTGCATTTGGGGTTTCACTACTTAAGGCAATATATTAGCTAGAATCATACTCGTGATTTATGCAAATGTTCAACTAGGGAATATTTATTATGATTGTCCCTCCACATCTGTAGTTTTGATTAAAGTGTTCTCTTTAGGAATCTCTAGGGTGGGAAAGTTGCAACCACAAAGTCCAGCCTTGGACTTGAATCCCAACTGAATTAATGGCATTTATATAAGTGTACAACAGATCTCACAACCCCTGAGGATGCCTGCCATAGATGTGGATGAAAAGTCAGGAGAGAATGCTTCTGGAACATGGCCATACAGCCTGGAAAACTCATAACAACCTTCTGTACTTTCTATTCATTAGTTGATTCAGTGGGCAAAACTGAGGCTACCAACTGGATCCGGATCTTTGTGCAGGTGAGGGAGAGCGTGTCAAGGTGGAGGAAGGCTCGTGCTAGCGAGTCTGTTCAAGGCATGGGGGTTCTGTGTGGGAAGTTTGGCCCTATTGTATCATTGATGGAGTTCAGAATTATCTTTGATTGTAGGTGAACTATAAATCCCAGCTGTATAACTCCTAAATGTCAAGGTCTATTTCCTTAAACTCCATCTGTGTTCACATTTGGGCATATTGAATACTCATGCTAAGTTTGGTTCAGATCCATCATTGTTTGAATCCGCAGTGCTCTCTGGATGTAGGTGAACTACAACTCCAAAACTCAAGGTCAATGCCCACCAGTATTTTCTGTTGGTCATGGGAGTTCTGTGCCAAATTTGGTTCAATTCCATCATTGGTGGAGTTCAGAATGCTCTTTGATTGTAGGTGAACGATAAATCCCAGCAATTACAACTCCCAAATGACAAAATCAACACCCCCAACCCCACCAGTATTCAAATTTGGGCGTTTTGGGTATTTGTTCCAAATTTGGTCCAGTGAATGAAAATACATCCTGCATATCAGATATTTACATGACAATTCATAACAGTAACAACATTACAGTTATGAAGTAGCAACGAAAATAATTTTATAGTTGAGGGTCACCACAACATGAAGAACTGTATTAAGGGATCGTGGCATTAGGAAGGTTGAGAAAAACTGCATTAAAGGTACAGGAGCCCTCTCCAGTTTTCAGTATAGCCAACTTAATAGTGACACATCCATTCTCTTTCCAGGTCTAGAATAGATTTTTTAATGACTCATTTGGATAATCAACTCCCTTGAACCCATGACTACTACCCATGGTGGCAGAATTTCCACATTTCCAGGTTGACAACATTGTGAAAGCATCAGCCTGTCTAGTCTTGTTTCAGCATCATGGTGAACCTGATACCCTCTGGCCTGTTGGAAAAGGTTCTGGGCCAGAAATGGGAAAGAGAAGGTGAATAAACATAGTGAAGTGACTCCCACAGCCTCGATTTCCGGGCAAATAGTTCAAAAGGTCTTTTGGGTCCCAATGTCAGTTGTCCCTCCCAACGAACTTCTCACCATCTCAGATGATAGCCAAACTGAATCTAAATATGTCCAAAAAGTGATTCGTAATTATTTTGGTACTAATGTTGGAGAGTGGTCACTGGTCAAGTGGTTCCCAGTCAAAAAAAGTTTGTTCTAGCGAAATACTGGCCTGGGGGGTGGATACTGGGAGTTGTATCTCCAAAAATAACTTTCCCAAACCCTAACTAAATCAAAAGAAGATCAATCAACAAAGGAAGATCAGGACTCTTGTCCTGACAATCACATGGTTGATTGTTAGTATTTTGATACTGGTGGAACAGACTTTGATTGTGTTCCCACTGACCTAAATGATTCCAAGAATAAATAGCTAAATATAAAAGGGTTGCTAAAAATAAACATAGTGCTCTGCTCTACATGAAATTGTTTTCTTTCAAGAGTAATAGCATGGAACAGGAATGACTGGTATGTCTTCAGGGCAGTGGTTCTCAACCTTCCTAATGCCGCAAGCCCTTAATACAGTTCCTCATGTTGTGATGACCCACAACCATAAAATTATTTTCATTGCTACTTCATAACTGTAATTTTGCTACTGTTATGAATCGTAATGTAAATATCTGATATACAGGATGTATTTTCATTCACTGGACAAAATTTGGCACAAATACCTGTTACGCCCAAATTTGAGTACTGGTGGGGTTGGGGGGGATTTATTTTGTCATTTGGGAGTTGTAGTTGCTGGCATTTATAGTTCCCCTACAATCAAAGAACATTCTGAATTCCACCAATGATGGAATTGAACCAAATTTGGCACATAGAAGTCCCGTGACCCACAAAAAATACTGGAAAGGTTTGGTGTGTATTGACGAGTTTTGGAGTTGTAGTTCACCTACATCCAGAGAGCACTGTGGACTCAAACAATGATGGATCTGGACCAAACTTGGCACAAATGTGAACACTGGTGGTGTTTGGGGAAAATAGACGTTGACATTTGGAAGTTGTAGTTGCTGGGATTTATAGTTCATGTACAATTAAAGAGCATTCTGAACCCCACCAACAATGGAATTGAACCAGACTTCCCACACAGAACCCACAGAACCAACAGAAAACACTGTGTTTTCTGATGTCTTTGGTGACCCCTCTGACACCCCCTTGTGACCCCCTCCCAGGGATCTAGACCCTCAGGTTGTGAATCGCTGCTTTAGGGAATGTGGCACCATTTTGTTGCAGACCCATCTGAAGACCACAATTCTTTCAAGTTCTCTGTATTCTTTATGAAGATAATAAGAAAAACAAACATGGAGATGGTTGACAGCAAATATTTATGTTTTGCTGCATTTCAAATCCTTTTAATCATATCCTTCATCAGGAAAATCAACAATAAAAAGTAATTGTTAACAATATTAAATATGCATTTGTGAACTTCTACAATAATACATACACACTGGTTACTAAGAACAGTTATTTTTCTGGAACACTGCGTTGCATGTTTAGTGTAGGTTTCCTGATCAAGGATTGCTAAAAACAATATAAAATAGGTTGAAATAATACATAGTTGTTGTATTGCGGCAGTGTGTTTATGGCCTGCTGGAATTCTCATTTTTGTTGTATTATAGGCCCTCAACTTTCATGGTTAAGGGCATCACAAAAGGGGGAAAATGCAACTGAAAACACTTTTTGGTAACCTGAAAGAACACCTCTTAAGGGATATCTAGATCATCTAGTGTGATTCTATGGTCCACTTCCATTGCACTAGAAGACCTGGAGATTCCTAGAGATACCATGTTTATGACATCTTGGCTGTAAAAAATGCTGTAACTGAATGGATGCCTTTCCATTAATGTCCCAAATGTCATACTTTGAATGGTCATTTCACTGTCTTTTAGGATGGGGCTACATTACCTGAATTCCTTTGTTGATGTATATCAGATGTATAACAGAATTTATTTGTTCATCATGTCAGAAGCAAATTGAGAATACAGGTATAATGTATTAAAAAACACATGCAAAGTTAAAAACTTGGCATTATACTAAATTTCCTTTGACCAAAAGCTGGCCACTTGGAGTGTCTCTGGTGTTGCTATAAGACGGTCCTCCATTGTGCACGTGGCAGGGCTCAGACCACATTGTAGTAAGTGGTCTGTGATTTGCTCTTCTCACACTTGCATGTAGTGGACTTTGTAGCCCCATTTCTTACGATTGGCTCTGCATCTCATAGTCCCAGAGCGCAGTATGTTCAGCGCCTTCCAAGTCACCCAGTCTTCTGTGTGCCCAGGAGGAAACATCTCATCTGATCTCAGCCACTGATTGAGGTTTCGGGTTTGAGCCTGCCACTTTTGGACTCTCGCTTGCTGAGGTGTTCCTGTGAGTGTAGATCTTAGGAAGCTGTTTCTTGATTTAAATCATTGGCATACTGGCTGATATCTGAACAGAGGATGAGCCGGAGATGTCAATGCCTTTGTCCTTTCATTTTTGGCTGCTACTTCCCGGTGGATATCAGGTGGTGCAATGCCGTCTAGACAACTCCTGTGATGATGTGGCATGTCTCATTGAGCCACATTCACTGTTTTAACATGGTGAGATGTATTCCATACTGGGCATGCGTGCTCAGCAGCAAAGTAGCAAAGCGCAAGGGCAGATGTCTTCACTGTATCTGGTTGTGATCCCCAGGTTGTGCCATTCAGCTTACGTATGATGTTTTTTGTATCACTCACTTTTTTCCTGATAGTCAACCAGTGCTTCTTGTAAGTCAAATCATGGTCCAGAGTGTCTCCCAGGTATTTGGGTGTGCTGCAATGCTCCAGTAGGATTCCTTCCCAGGTAATCCTCAGAGCTTGAGATGAAAAGCACATGCCTGCATTTTAGATGGATTAGGAATCAGCTGGTTTTCCCTGTATTAGGCAGTTATAGCACCTAAAACTTCAGAGTGCTTCTGTTCAACCATTTCAAAGCTCCCTGCTTGAGCGGTGATGGCACGATCATCAGCATAGATGAAACTCTCTGACCCTTCTGGCAGTGGCTGATCATTTGTGTAAATGTTAAACATTGATGGAGCAAGCACGCTCCCCTGAGGCAGGCCGTTCTTCTTTTTTTGCCGTCTGCTTCTCTGACCCTGGAACTCAACAAAAAAGCTCCTGTTTTGAAGCAGATTTCCTATGAAGTGGGTGAAGTGGTAATCCTTTGTGATACTATACATTTTGATCAGGAGCAGGTAATGATTTACGGTATCATAAGCTGCTACAGGTCTATGAAGACGGCACCTATAAACTGTTGTCTTTCAAAGCCATCTTCTATGTGCTGAGTCAGGTTCTTGCAGTATAACAGCATTCCAACATTCCAGCGGGGAAGCATGCAGGGAATGCGGAAGTGCTTAATCAGCGTCGCAGATGGACGATGAAAGCGACAGCTCCCCTGGCGGCCAGAAAAAAGTTAAATAGCCTCTGTGTATGTCTGTATATGTTTGTATGTCAAAAAGTGGCATTGAATGTTTGCCATATATGTGTACACTAGGGCTGGGCGGTTTCGTTTCGTAATTTCGTAATTCGTTAAAAATTCATTATTTTTTTTTGGTTACGAAGCGATAACGAACCATTCAGGAGCATCTAAAAAACGAAACGAATTTTTCAATTCGTTTCGTAATTGCTTCGTTTTTGTTTCGTATTTGTTTCGTATTCGTTTCGAAATCGTTTCGAAATCGTTTCATTATTATTTCCGCATGTCTGGGGCAAGTTTTATAGCTGTTGTTTGTTTAATCAGTGAAAATTTTTTATAAATATCACACCAACAGTCAACAACAGAGGGAGAGGGAAGCTTCAGAAGTTCCGCCTGTCCCATATGGAGGTTTTTTAGCGTATTGCGCGGTCGCGTCCGCCATTAACGAATCGATCCGTATTCGTTTCGTATTCGTTTCGTATTCGTTTCGTATTCGTTTCGTATTCGTTTCGTATTGTTTCGTAATTTTACGAAATTTCGTAAATATCGGACTTTTTTAAAGAAAAATTTCGGAATTCTTTTAAATATCGAAACGCAAAAAACCCCCAAAAACAAATCGAGTTTAGAAACAATTTTTTCCGTGGTTGCCCAGCCCTAGTGTACACTGTAATCCGCCCTGAGTCCCCTGCGGGGTGAGAAGGGCGGAATATAAAAGCTGTAAATAAATAAATAAATAAATAAATAAATAAATAAATAAATAAATAAATAAATAAATGAATGAATAAAATAACAGAGGAAAGTAGCTTACAGTCTGTATAGGCTGAGAATCCATTCTTCCAAATTCTAAAATACTCCAAAATCTTCCGTACAGATGGCAGAGACAGTGACACTTCTGTTTTCTGGTGGTTCAGTGGACACAAGCACTGAATATTACAAATATTGGGTGTACAATTGCCTCCAGTCTTTGAGCATAAGGTGTATACTCAATTTCCTGTTTAGACTTGGGTTCCATCTCTTGTATATGCAAGTTTTCCAAACCCAAAAGAGTCTGAAACACAGAACATTCCTGGTCCCAAGTATTTCAGATACGCATATAAAATATTCAGTCTATATTTTCCTTGAGGATTTGAAGGTAGTGATTTTTAACAGGGTCTGTGCTCCACAGGATGAATGCTGTGCTGATTTTAATCCTACCATTTAATCCATTTTTCCTTCTTTCCTTTACGTGATACTAATTTCCTGCCTCTTTCATCTCAGCATGCTTGCTGGCCATCTCTGATCAGTGCTTCCACGGGCTGAGATCGTTTCTGTTTCTCTTCCCTTCTTCTCCCTCCAGGTTCTCTACCACCTTTTCGACGAGTTTGCCAAATTTGACCAAATCACCGTAACAGACATTATCCTGGGGTTCCTGAGCTTCTTTGTGGTCTCCCTGGGGGGCGTCTTTATCGGCGTTGTCTATGGAGTCATTGGGGCCTTCACCTCCCGCTTCACATCCCACATCCGCGTCATCGAGCCCCTCTTCGTTTTCCTCTACAGCTACATGGCTTATCTGTCGGCGGAGCTCTTCCATCTTTCAGGCATCATGTCGTAAGTATTGGGCACAGAGTTGCGTGGGTAGCGCCACTGAAAGGGGAAACACTTTGTAATGTTGGAAGTGACTGTTAATTGACCGAGAGTGCATCTTACTTACTTAGGCGATCCCTCGTTGGACGAGTAAGATGGTCTTCCTTGATGACTATTTTTATGGGTTCGTAGGTGGCTGTGGAGCCCTATTCTTGACCCGCATCTTCTCCCACAGTGAAGGCATTGGTTTCCAGGTGGAAGGCGGTCCCGGTCGGGGTTGGCTTGACGCGCCTTCCTCCTGGCATGTTTCTCTCTTTCACCCTCCACTCGTGCCTCCTCGAATTCTGCAGCACTGCTGGTCACAGCTGACCTCCAACTGGAGCGGTCAAGGGCCAAGGCTTCCCAGTTCTCAGTGTCTATGCCAGAGTTTTTAAGGTTGGCTTTGAGGCCATCTTTAAATCTCTTTTCCTGCCCACCAACATTACGTTTTCCGTTCTTAAGTTCAGAGTAGAGCAACTGCTTTGGGAGACAATGGTGAGGCATCCAGACAACATGGCCGGTCCAGCGGAGTTGATGGCAGAGGACCATCGCTTCAATGCTGGTGGTCTTTGCTTCTTCCAGCACGCTGATGTTTGTCCGCTTGTCTTCCCAAGATATTTGCTGGATTTTCCAGAGGCAGCGCTGATGGAATCGTTCCAGGAGTTGCATGTGACGTCTGTAGACAGTCCACGTTTCGCAGGCATAGAGCAGGGTTGGGAGGACAATATCTTTATAGACAAGCACCTTGGTATCCCTACGGATGTCCCGGTCCTCAAACACTCTCTGCTTCATTCGGGAAAATGCTGCACTCGCAGAGCTCAGGCGGTGTTGTATTTCGGTGTCGATGTTGACTTTGTTGAGAGTGCATCTACACTACAAAATTAACACAGTTTGATACCACTTTAACTGTATGGCTCAGTGCTATGGACTTATAGCAGTTGTCATTTTATGAAGTCTTTAACTTTCTATTCCAAACACTGCCAATGCTTCACCAAACTACAAAGACCAGGATTCCACATTATTGAACTAAAGTGCTATCAAAAATGCATTAATTAATTGATTGATTATTTAAGTATTTTAACAGGATTTTCAATAGCTGATATGGGACAGTTGGATAGAGATTTTAGGAGAGTTAGGGTCAAATGAGGAATCCCATTGGTTAGTTTGGATTAAGAGGGAGGGGAGTTAGGAATATGAATTCTATATGTTAGGAGAGTTAGTCAGGGTTCCAAGTAGGGATCAGCTGGACTTCAGTTGACATAGGAGAGATGGGAAATAGGAAAACAAAATTAGGAGCATTACTCAGGGTCAGAGACAGAGATTAGTTGGACTCGGATATGGCCACGGTGGTCCATGCTCATGTTACATTGGGAATAGATTACTGCAATATGCTCTGCATGGGGTTGCCTTTGAAGACTGTTCAGAAGTTTCAAATGGTCCAACGAGTGGCAGTCAGATTTCTCACTGGAGTGGGGTACAGGGAGCACACAACTCTCCTGTTACATGAGCTCAACTGGCTGCCAGTTTGCTACCGAGCACAATTCAAAGCGCTGGCTTTAGCCTATAAATCCCCAAAGCAGCGTTTCTCAACTAGGATGCACATCAAACTTTCTCAACCTGAGGGGTCAGGACTACTGGGGTTCATGGGAGGGTGTCAGAGGGGTCACCAAATACCACCAGAAAACACAGTATTTTCCGTTGGTCATGGGGGTTGTGTGTGGCCCAATTCTATCATTAGTGGGGTTCAGAATGCTCTTTGATTGTAGGTGAACTATCAATCCCAGCAACTACAATTCCCAAATTACAAGGTCTATTTCCCCAAACACCACCAGTGTTCACATTTGGTCATATTGAGTATTTGTGCCAAGTTTGATTCAAATCCATCATTATTTGAGTCCACAGGGCTGTCTGGATGTAGGTGAACTACAGCTCCAAAACTCAAGGTCAATGCCCACCAAACCCTTCCAGTATTTCTGTTGGCCATGGGAGTTCTTGTTCATCATTGGCAGAAATGTATCCAATTGTCTGGTGATTATGTGGAAAGTGAATAGTGGTAGTTAAAGAGCACATTCTAAGGATTATTTCAGTCTGGTTCTATTCCATTGTTGGTGGAGTTCAGAATGCTCTTTGATTGTAGGTGAACTATAATTCCCAGCAATTGCAACTCCCAAATGACAAAATCAACCCCTCCAACCCCACCAGTATTCAAATTTGGGCATATCGGGTATTTGTGCCAAATGTGGTCCAGTGAATGAACATGCATCCTACATATCAGATATTTACATTATGATTCATAACAGTAGCAAAATGACAGTTATGAAGTAGCAAAGGAAATAACTTTATGGTTGGGGTCATCACAACATGAGGAATTTTATTAAGGGGTTGTGGCATTAGGAAGGTTGAGAAACACCGAATTAGATGAATGGCAGTGATGGGAGGGAGTTTCTTAAAGGTCCCCACAATTGATGGCTTCAAACTACAAGAAAGGAGATTCCATCTGAACATGAGGAAGAACTTCCTGACTGTGAGAGCCATTCAGCAGTGGAACTCTCTGCCCCAGAGTGTGGTGGAGGCTCCTTCTTTGGAAGCTTTTAAGCAGAGGCTGGATGGCCATCTGTTGGGGGTGCTTTGAATGCAATTTTCCTGCTTCTTGGCAGGGGGTTGGACTGGATGGCCCATGAGGTCTCTTCCAACTCTATGATTCTATGATGCCATAGCGATGGGACAGGAGGGGGTTCCTATAAGTTCCTATAAGCTTCCACAATTGAGATTGCCAGCAGTGGAACAAGTGGAAGTCCTACAAATAATAATAATAATAATAATAATAATAATAATAATAATAATAAACTACAAGAATGATAATAACAAACTACAAGAAAGGAGATTCCATCTGAACATGAGGAAGAACTTCCTGACTGTGAGAGCTGTTCAGCAGTGGAACTCTCTGCCCCATAGTGTGGTGGAGGCTCCTTCTTTGGAAGCTTTTAAACAGGGGCTGGATGGCCATCTGTCAGGGGTGATTTGAATGCAATATTCCTGCTTTTTGGCAGGGGGTTGGACTGGATGGCCCATGAGGTCTCTTCCAACTCTTTGATTCTATGATTCTATAATAATAATAATAATAATAATAATAATAATAATAATAATAATCTTTATAACCCGCCACCATCTCCCCAACGGGGACTCGGGGCGGCTTATATGAGACCAAGCCCATACAATAAATTACAATAAAATAAGATACAAGTTACAATAAAATAAACAACATCGCAGAAAAATACAGAACATGTGACTACAATGGAAAAAAACTCCAGTAAACCAAACATAATGACAGTGAGTTGTAGGATAGGTGGAAGACGCTTATACATGCTCTAAATAGACAGTTTAGAGTTAACTTTTAAATACTTTTAAATGGTATTGCTGCACACAAAACTGTTTTATACCAAGATCTTTGATCTGCCCAGCTTTGCATTTTTACATAGTCTGCGAGTATACATGTGCCTTCAAGTTACATGTTGTCTTATGGTGATTCCATGGAATTCATAGTATTTGCTTAGGCAAGGAATCCTTAGAGATGGGTTGTTGTAGGTTTTTCCGGGGTATATGGCCATGTTCTAGAGGCATTTTCTCCTGATGTTTCGCCTGCATCTATGGCAAGCAGGACATTAGGACATTAAGATTGTCCGGGGAGGCCCTGCTCTCGATCCCGCCAGCCTCACAAGCACGGCTGGCGGGGACGAGAGACAGGGCCTTCTCAGTGGTGGCCCCTCGGCTGTGGAACGCCCTCCCCGCAGACATTAGATCGGCTCCCTCCCTACTGGTGTTCAGGAGAAGAGTGAAGACCTGGCTCTTTGAACAGGCGTTCAATTAAGCAGTGCAATCAACTGACTGATTTTGGAACTTGGAATAATAGACGAGGAGATCGGATTATGACTTTACTGATGAGACGTGATGGATTAGTTATATGGATGTAGTGATGTTATGTTGATTTATTGATGTACTGTTGTATTGTTTTAATTGCTTTAGTACTGTGTAAATGTTAATGCTAATGCTGTGCACTTTGTATATTGACCTGTTGTAAACCGCACTGAGTCGCCTACGGGCTGAGATAGTGCGGTATACAAATAAAGTAAATAAATAAATAAATAAATAAGCATCCTCAGAGGTAGTGAGGTGACTACCTCTGAGGATGCTTGCCATAGATGCAGGCGAAACGTCAGGAGAAAATGCCTCTAGAACATAGCCATATACCCCGGAAAAACCTACAACAACCCAGTGATTCCGGCCATGAAAGCCTTCGACAATACATTAAATCCTTAGAGATGTTTTTGATAGTTCCTTCCTCTGCTTTAGAGCCTACAACATCTGGTATTTGTGGCTGTACCTTTGGGCTTAAGGATAGCTCTTTTTGGACTGCTGTTCCCAGAATCCGGAATTATGGGAGCCACAGTCCCAAAAGGCACCTTTTCTCTTGCTCTGGAAGTGCTCTGACACTAAGCTATGTTACTCTTCCTTCGATCCCTTAAATGTGGCCCTGCTGGCAGGGAAGAGGCTACACATGACTGCAAAAAACAACAACACACACAAAGTATTGTGACTTCTGTAGTAACAAGAAGTCTGTTCTGCCTACAGAATACAATGGTCAGATTAAGAAAGTCAAAGCATTGTTTTAAAGCATTTTTTGCACAATTTATGCATTCTGGGTGAATCTGACAACCTTTCATTCTGCTCCATGGCATAGTCTGATTCATCTGTCTGGTTGTGAAAACTTGTGTCACATTTAAACCTAATAATAGCACATCAAGAGCTTTGGTTATTTGGCTCTGAATTCTGTTGGTGATGTACATTCCAACCTAAAATTCAGAAGAGATTGACATTGCACCATTTTTACTGGTACGTCTCTACTACAACCCCCTAAACTACAACATTAAAGTTGAATTCTAAGGTCTGCATTAAAGTTCAGATTCCCGGATTTCATAGGGTGAAGG